GTGCCCAGAAAAGCGCTATATAAATGTAAGGAATTAAATGAATTATTGTGTGCTTGCTAGGACATTGCTAGGTGGTTGGTAGTATGCTATGGTTCCTAAGATGTTGCAAAACAGTTATTAGGGTGATCTGAATGTTGGTAGGTGATCTTGGGACAGCTAGTCTAATGTTTTATGCGGTCACTAGGTGTTACTAGGTGATTGCTAAGGTTTAATGGATTTGTCTAGAATATTTAAGACAGTAGTTTGTTCAGGCTTTTTGCTAGGCCATTTCTATGAGGTTGGTAGATTGTTCTTGAGTGTTGCTAAGTTGTCCTGGGTGTTGCTAGGCTGTTACTAGGTGGTTGCCAAGGTATTATGGATGTTGCTAGAATTTTTAAGACAGTTGTTTGTTCTGGCTTTTTGCTAGGATATTTCTATGAGGTTGGTAGATTGTTCTTGAGTGTTGCTAGTACGGTGGCCGAGAGAGCTCAACGCGCTGCAACTTAAGAAAACACATGCAAATTGAAAAAACACCAGCAAATTAAGAAAACATCTTCATCAGTTTGACAACACACGCGCTGCAAATCCTTACAGCACATGCAAATGAAGAAACGCGCTGCAAATCCTCACAACACATGCAAATGAAGAAACGCGCTGCAAATAGCACGGACCACAACGGAAATGTTTCAAGGGGACCCAAAAAAGGGACGGACCCGGCTGGGATTTGTTTTGTGCAGTGGCTATTGGTTAGTGGAGTTGTCGGTGAACTGAAAGGTGAGTGTTTTTTGTTTATTTTAACACCCTGATTGCATGATTCCTTTGTCTTTTAGATATTATTAGCCTAAATAATCTGACGAATTACACGAGTAACTGTGAAACGTTATATAAAATGGCTAACTTAATTTAATATTCTCAACTAAATATAATTTCAAGGTTAATGAAATCCGCAATGCTTCATTAATTGTTAAAACCAAGTCAAAATCCAAAATACAACGTGCAAACTTCAGTCAACTTGTTTTTGTTTTGTTTGCTGACACCTGGTCATCACCCGCCGTTCTAGGGGCATTCTCTACGACAAAGCTTACATCTCGCCCACATGAACTGCAAAATCTTGGCAAAGTCAGCCATTGGATGCCACAGAAAGGGCAATACATTTTGATCTGAAAAACAAAAACAAGTTGACTGAAGTTTGCACGTTGTATTTGTATTCCATTGTCCTTTCTTTCATTAGCCTACTAAAAGGGCCTGATTAAATAATAATTTTAAATATTATTCTTACTGTCAATCTGCAATTTATTTTGACCTGGTTTTAACAATTAATGAAGCATTGCGGATTTCATTAACCTTGAAATTATATTTAGTTGAGAATATTTAATTAAGTTAGCCATTTTATATAACGTTTCACAGTTACTCGTGTAATTCGTCAGATTATTTAGGCTAATAATATCTAAAAGACAAAGGAATCATGCAATCAGGGTGTTAAAATAAACAAAAAAAACTCACCTTTCAGTTCACCGACAACTCCACTGACCAATAGCCACTCACTGCACAAAACAAATCCCAGCCGGGTCCGTCACTTTTTTGGGTCCCCTTGAAACATTTCCGTTGTGGTCCGTGCTATTTGCAGCGCGTTTCTTCATTTGCATGTGCTGTGAGGATTGCAGCGCGTGTGTTGTCAAACTATGAAGATGTTTTCTTAATTTGCTGGTGTTTTTTCAATTTGCATGTGTTTTCTTAAGTTGCAGCGCGTTGAGCTCTCTCGGCCACTGTATGCTAGGGTGTTAATAAGCAATTTTCAGAATGTGAATGGTTGATAATTTTGAGGGAGTTAGTAGTTCTTTGTGGTTGCTAGGAGGTTGGTAGGATGTTCTAAATTGTTGCTAGGGTGTTACTAGCTTGTTGCTGAGGTGTTCTAGGTATTGCTAGGATTTTTTTAAGATGGTAGTTTGCTCTGGGTTTTCTCGAGAACATTTTTACGATGTTGGTAGAATATGCTTGATAGTTACTATGCAATTGTCAGGATGCTCTGGATGGTTGTTACAACATTTTGAGGGAGTTAGTAGTTCTTTGTGGTTGCTAGGAGCTTGGTAGGATGTTCTAAATTGATAATTTTCCACAAACTGTGTGATTTGAGGTATCATTCATGTCAAGCGCACATAGAATGAGGATTATGCACAAGAATTAACACTAAGTGTTAAGGTTTGTTTAAATGACTACTAATATTATCAGTAAGAATAGTGATACTTTCCCTAGCGAACACCATTAGTGGTCGTGGCCTAATGGTTAGAGATGGTTAGGGAAGTCGTGGCCTAATGGTTAGAGAGTCGGACTCATAACCCAAAGGTTGTGGGTTCGACTCTCGTACCGGCAGGGATTGTAGGTTGGGGGAGTGAATGTACAGCGCTCTCTCCCACCTTCCATACCACGACTGAGGTGCCCTTGAGCAAGGCACCGAACCCCCAAATGCTCCCCGGGCGCCGCAGCATAAATGGCTGCCCACTGCTCCGGGTGTGTGTTCACGGTTTGTGTGTGTTCACTGCTGTGTGTGTGCACTTTGGATGGGTAAATGCAGAGCACTAATTCCGAGTATGGGTCACCATACTTGGCCACATGTCACGTCACTTTCGTCACTTTCATTAATAGTCTGATATTTGCAGAAGTACCTAATGCATTTCAAAGCTATTACCTTTGAATATCCTTGCACACAGATGCACTACAGGTGGTAATTTTTTAAATAATTACTGTTGATATATGTGTAATGGCTAGATTGTTCTAAGTGGATCCCTGCCCAGATCTCTCTGTGAGCTGATGGACTTCTGCGGATCTGCACGTAAGGGTAATATTAATATTAAGGCTTTTGCAGGGAAGCCAAAATCGTTAGAGAGATTGGCAGATGGTGAAGCCTTTCCAAACATACCCTTAAACCTTTCTCAAGCCCTTCAGCAAACCAAATCAAGACTGATCGATTTACCCTGGTCAATTACAAGCAATTAGCAAGACTGCGCCGCTGTCTTTCATATCCACTTAGGTGGCGAAGTAGAAACAGAGGGTAATCCTGGTTTACTAATGCTGAACCTACAAATCAAACGTTCAAAGCAGCAAACCTGTCAGTCTTGTTGCCTGAAAAGCTCACCATTATACATTGGAAGGCTTTAAAGTATATGCCAGACATCTGAGGAGGAAAAGGCACGGCTTGAATCCTCCATTTGCTGTGGTGCACTGATTTGACGGTTAATGTCTTTCTTCTGTTTAATGATCTTGACACTGAGCCGAAGCATCGCGACCCGGCCTGGGGCAGAGCGTTGCATTTCCTGACACAAACCGGATACACTCGGAGCAAATGCAATCTTAATCGATCACTGACTGCACACCTGACATATCTCTGTTGTCTGTGGGGAAATGTGTGCCACCCTCCTCTGAAAGAGGCCGACCAAAAGAGATAAAGCGTTACAGAACAAAATAAAACCTGCCAGTCATGTCGTGGCTTTCAAGCACAATGCAAAGCGTGGTGAAAACAGTTGGCATCTAATAACTTCACAACCAATGATTTCTAGCAGTTTGTTGTAACCTTTACTGCTCATCACGTGTTAGTTTACATCCATAGTTAAAATGCTAAGTGCAATTAACAATAAAATGAAATAGGCTTAGCAACTTTTTCATTGTGAGGACAAAGCTCAAAAATGTCAGTCTGTGTGTCCGATTTAAAAATATTTTTACCATATTTATGAAACCAAAGTTGAAGTCCCCCCACATGTACCAGCTATTTGTCAGCACTCACAGAACCTTCATGTATATAAATTTTTAAATGTAAACAAAATGTCCCATAAAATGCCTGCGGTGACATTCGCTTCCAGCTATTTGTCAGCCCATTTTGTTGCTTGATATTGCAAACTGCTGTGTCTTACCATCTTGTTTTAATGTATTATCTAACACATTGGTTTGTAGTGCAAAAAGTTTTACCATTTACTGCACTTTGTTATTCTTCTCGTTATTTCCCTACCGCAGCTAATGAAGCGGAAGTCTCGCACATTCACAGAAAACAGCTTAGTTCTGCATTGAAAAATAAGGTGGATAGAAAGAGAAAAAAGGGTATGTTTATTATTGTGTTTTTAATCAAGTCTGTATTTATAATGCATTATAATATCACCTATTTGGGGTTAGAACTTTTAAGATGCAACAGTTATAATGCATTATATTGTTTTGGATATGGATATTGATATTTACCTGTTTCAATGTTATATTATTTGCTTGTTTTTAGGTTAATGCCATATATGCTTTGATATAAAAATGCTTGCACTTGCAATAGGGTGGCACTTATTGAGGGGTACATTTTTTGAAAAAAAATTATTGGAAATGTTTAACCTCTCACCCCCTCATTTGTTTCTCAACTAGAATTACGCAATGTATGCTAAATACTATCCAAATAATTTGTCATTTAGTGTATGCTCAAAGAATGTATCTTTTTTATCAACAGGTACTTCAAGATCTGATTGCTGATAGGTTTCGTTCACTGATAAACTTTTGACTGTTTCTGATGGCCATTTTGCATAACCAGGTGGAAGAGAGCAATGTTCATTCACTCCCCCCACCTATTCAGTTCAAGTTTATTTGTACAGCGCTTTTCACGATACAAATCATTGCGAAGCAACTTTACAGCAAATTAAGTTTCTACAATATTTAGTGGTAGCTTATCAGTGGTGACTGTCAGTCAATGTACATATGGCAGAAATGTACGGAAAAATCAATTAAAGACGTAATCAAACAGACGATGAACACTATTAACAGCAATTATTATATGATGCAATCAAACTTATAGCAAAATGTGGTAGTTCTGTATGTTGTTTCAGGCTTGGCATCATCTGAGGTCCTCTGAGGGGTCCTCTCAGGTGTTCTGGATCCAGACTGAAGCTTGTGTAAATCCTAGTTACCATGGGATGTCAATCCCGTGGCAAAAACAGAGAAACAAATAGAGACATAATTAGCATAGCTGCTGTTCCAACCAAGCAAAATTGATTTGTTTAACCCAAACTAAAGAATAATAATGTGCATTTGATCAGATATAACTGAAGCACAAGATTATGATATGCATTATTTGAATGCTTGGCCAAAGAGATGTGTCTTTAATCTAGATTTAAAGAGTGTGTCTGAACTCCGAACGTTATCAGGAAGGCTATTCCAGAGTTTGGGAGCCAAATGCAAAAAAGCTCTACCTC